AGCTGCCAGTCTAGAATCCAGGGCTTCTTAGATGCCAGGCAGGCACACCTAGTAACTGAGCTACATCTCCAGCCCCTCATTCACTTATTTTACAAATATAAATGCAGGCAATGTCAGGAACTGCTTTAAATAATAGAAAAGTAAAGACTGACCCTTACAACTGAGTCATTGCCTTCTAGAAGCTTGTTCTCATCAAAGGTACAAAGAAGTAAACATGGCGAAAATGAAGCTCAGCACCCTCTTGGCCTCAGGACACCCACACACATCAATAAAAGTAAACTTTTTTAAAAATTAGAACTGGGAGCTGGAGAGATGGTGCAGTGGTTAAGAGCATTGCCTGCTCTTCCAAAGGTCTTGAGTTCAATTCCCAACAACCATATGGTGGCTCACAACCATCTGTAATGAGATCTGGTGCCCTCTCTGGCCTGCAGGCACACATGTAGGCAGATATTGTATGCATAATAAATGAATAAATATTAAAAAAAATTAGAACTGACTGTGGTGACACACACCTTTAATCCTAGCAAAGACTAGGATTTTGAGTTCAAGACCAGCCTGGTCTATATAAATTAAAATCCTTGCCAGTTAAGGATATCTAGTGAGACCTTGTCTCGAAAATAAATTAATGACACTGGGTAGTGGTGGCACATGCCATTAATCCCAGCACTCAGGCAGGGGGATCTCTGTGAGTTCAAGGCTAGCCTGGTCTCAGCGTGAGTCCCAGAACAGCCAGGACTGATACACAGAGAAACCTTGTCTCGAAAACTCAAATAAGTAAGTGAGCAAATAAATAATAAACTGTTTCAAATTGGGCAGTCCAACAAGACAGCTAGAGGGTAAAGATGCTTTCCACGAAGTCTGAGGACCTTTATTCAAAGCCTGAGTCCCATGTGTTGGACGAAGAAAAGATTTCTAAAAGTTAACCTCTGATCTCCGCGAGTATGCCATGGCACATACACTATGGAAAGTATACATGCATACATAAACACCCACAAAATAAGTGTAAAATGTGCCACACTGTTAATGTATCCAGAAGGGAAGGAAGACTACCTGATACCCACAACATACAAGCAGTTCAGTAACTGACAAGGCTATAAATTTGTGGACACGAACTAAGAGTGCCTTGTGCCAAAAGGTGGAGGTCTGGTCCCCTGTCAGGTCTGAATTGGATAACTAAGGTGTGGGACAGTTGAGCACAGAGCGGTATGGTGAGATAGGAAGACTGCCTGAGGTAGGTCCAGTTATGGTAGAACGTGGACCTCTCCTTCTTTCTCCTCACTGTTTACTCCAGGGCCTTCACCTAATGCTGTCGTGTATCTTTCACGTTCTGCATTTCTTGTCCCTATCCAGGTGCTGACCCCCTAGTAGAGCAGGTACGAGTCCTGGGCCTACTACATGAAGAGCTTCATGGTCCTGGCCCCATAGGAGCACTGAGCACCCTTGCTCACACAGAGGTGACTCTGAGTGGTAAAATGGACCAGACTTCAGCCTCCATCCTCTGTCGAAGGCCCCAACAACGTGCAACTTACCAGGTCAGGAAAGACAACACAGAAGACTGGAGATCAGCACTAAGGACCAGTGTCTTAGTCAGGGTTACTATTGCTGCTATTAAAACCAGGACCAAAAGCAAGTTGATGAGGAAAGGGTTTATTTGGCTTCCACTTCCATGTTGTAGTCCATCACTGAAGGAAGCCAGGCCACCAACTCAAAACAGAGCAAAGCACCTGGGGGCAGAAGCTGATGCAGAGACTGTGGGGGAGAGCTGCTTACTGGCTTGCTCATCATGACTTGCTCAGCCTGCTTGTAACATGTAGAACCTACAGCCCACGAGGGACTCCCCACCCACAGTGAGCTGGGCCCTCCCCTGTCAATCATTAATTAAGAAAATACCCTACAGCTGGATCAAACAGGAGTTTTCTCAATGGAGGTTCCCTCCTTTCAGATGACTCTAGCTTATATCAAGTTGACAGAAAACTAGCCAGGTCAGGCAGCATGATGTTCAGGGGGCTGGAGAGATGGCTTAGTGGTTAAGAGCATTGGCTCTTCTTCCGGAGGACCTGGGTTCAATTCCCAGCACCCACATCACAGCTCACAACTGTCTTTAGTTCCAGTTTTAAGGGGATCTGACACCCTCACACAGACATGCAAGCAGGTAAAATGCACATAAAAACTGATGTTCACTTGGGAGGTAGAGGCAGGAAAATCAGGACTTAAAGGGTCCCCCATAAGCTCAGGTCCACTTGGGCTATGTGATACATGAGATTCTGTCGGGGAAGGGAGGGAGCTGATCCAAATACTTCCCTATTGTTGATTTGTTTCATTTTGTTTGAGGCAAGGTCTCACGGTATAGCCCTGTGTAGCCTGAAACTTGATTTTATTTTATTTTTTAAAGACTAGGCTAGCTTTGAACCTACAGAGACCAACCTACCTCTCCCTCCCAAGTTCTGAGATTAAAGACATGTACCACCATGCCTAACATCCTGTGTTTATATTTTGTGGTGCTTGGAGGATCAAGCCTAGGTCCTTAGACGTGTTCAGGACACACACTGCTATTGAGCTGTATGGCTGGTCCCGTCCCTGTGTTTTCTGTCATTTACCTCATTTTGTCTTAACAGCTGTCCTATGAAGGAATTGTTTACCCTGTTTTTAGACTGGAAAATAAAATGCAGGCATGTTAAAATTTAAGTCACTTACCTAAGGAATAAACACCAAGTGAAATACCTAGGATTTGAACTCAGGGTTGCTCAGCTCAAGAGTCTATTAACTAGCCAGACATAGTGGCACATGCCTTAAATCCCAGCACTTGGGAGGCAGAGGCAGGCAGATCTCTTGAGTTTGAGGCACACCTGGTCTAATAGTTCCAGGACAACCAGGGCTGGAGAGATTCTGTCTCCAAAAATTAAAGAGCCCGTTAACTTAGCCAATTAAGGAGGCTGTCTTTTCCAAGACAGGGTTTCTTTGGAGCTTTGGAGCTTGTCCTGGAACTAGCTCCTGTAGACCCAGGCTGGCCTTAAGAGATCCTCTTGCCTCTGCCTTAAGGAGGCTGACTTACAGCAAGTAAATGAGGGATTTTTTTTTTTCTTCCCTAGACTTGGTGGTTCTCCATTCTTCCTGACTTCAGCCTGGATCTCCATGAGAGGCTTCCCCTCCATTCCAAGCTACCCTCCAGTCACACAACTCAGGTATCTGAAAGTGGCAGAGCCAGAACAAGGTGTGAGCTTGGAGTCTGGCAAAAGGAAAATAAAGCTAGAGGTGTTAACCAGGCAATGGCAGTGCCCATATCTAACCCCTTACTGACATACATGCAGGCCAACACCAATGAACATAAAATACAAATAAAAATCACAAAGGAACCAGGCAATGGTGGTGCATGCCTTTAATCCCAGCACTCAGGAGGCAGAGGCAAGCAGAGCTCTGTGAGTTCAAGGCCAGCCTGGTCCACAGAGTGAGTTCCAGGACAGCTAGGGCTACACAGGGAAACCCTATGTTGAAAAACCCAAATAACAAACGAATAAATGAATGAATAAATGGGGGGGGAGACAGTAGAAGCAAGCAAATCTCGAGGTCAAGGCCAGCCGGGTCTACAGAACTAGTTCTAGGATAGCCAGAGTTACACAGAGAAACTCTTGTCTTGGAAGGGGAAAAAAAAAAAACCAGAAACCTAGATATGTTGGAAGTCTGGAGTTGAAAAGGACTGATCAGCAACAGCGCTTGTTCCTACAGGTGGATCCCACGACTCATTTGACTTTTAACCTTCACTTATCCGAAAAAGAAAGAGAAGCCAGAGACAGCCTCACTCTGCCTTTCCAGTTCAGCTCTGAAAAGTAAGGCTGGGCTGGGACCTTAGCATCTGGATCACAGAAAGGTGGGGTGATGGCAGGTTATTGATTAACCTCAAGGTTTTATAGGGGCTGAAGTCCAGGGAGTGGTTCTACCCTCCTAGACATAATTCCCAACATGATACTTCTTTCCAGTAGAGCTATGGTCCTGGCTGAGCCAGACCGGATGGGGAGGTAGCCCTCTTCTCCAGGTAGCAGTGCCAAAACTGTAACATAGATGAGTGTGGTGAGGGCTAGTTCACAAGGGCTTAGGAAGTACCTCTTGCTCTGCCTGGTGTGGGGGTGGGTTTGTTAGAGCAGCCCCTATTCCAGGGCCTAGTGGTACTTCAGTTCTGATTACTCTTGAAACAAGACATAGGATGGGTTCCTAAGTGATTATCACTGTCACCTAGAAGGAACTCTCCAGACCTGACTCATCGCCACCCTCCTCATCATCACTTCTTCCTTCCTCAGACAGCAAGCACTGCTGCGTTCTGGCCCAGGCCAGACAACTAGTCACATCTTCTATGAGCCAGATGTTTTCGATGATGTGGACCAAGAAGACCCAGATGATGACCTAGACATTTGACCAGGCAGGAGAGGAGGACTGTGGCTCAGAACCATCCTGTTGTATGCAGAGACTGGTCCCTGCCCTCCCTCTGTTGATTGTCTGTGGAGGCCCTGTCCTGTGAACCAAGGAGTAGCGTCTAATTGGGGCAGAAAGTATGGTGAGAGCGTCATGTATAGCATGAGAACAAGAAACCTCCCTCTTCCCATGCCTGTTTCTAATAAACCAGATATGTGTGTGTGTGAATCTAAAATGGTCTTTGGTAACTACTTGGTAGGTGTTGGGGTAGGGCTGGTGAGATGGCTCACAAGTTTGATGACCTGAGTTCAATCCCTGGAACCCACAGAAAGGTAGGAGAGACCCTGCTCCACACAGCTGTTCTCTCTGACCTATACATACACATACACATGTAGCATTTGAGCACACGGGATAATGGTCAATGGAAAAATTATAAAGTTGGGGAAGAATAGGTAAGAACCTGAGTCAAGGCATTAGACCTAACAAAATAGGGGCACTGTTGGTACTTGGTTCTGCTGCTACTGTGGGCACACTTTAGTGCCAACTCCTGTGGAGGGATCTGGGTGTATAGAAAGAAGGCCTGAAGAGATGCCTAATTTCCAAAACTTAATTTTTATTACTGTACAAAAAGCATGCCCACCCCATGTTTCTTGTCTTTTCCCAGTCCCTCCCCTAACTCCCCCCACCCCAAGAACTGTACATGGTGTTTAGGGCTGGAGTGACCAGAGGCCTCTGTCCCACACCTTGCCACAGGCTGAGCGCCCCAGCTCACACATACTCCTTGGCAGAATTCGACTTAGGGTAGGAGCGGGGTGCACGGTATGCAGTTTTGCTTTCACTGCCGGGACAGGAGCAAGAGAGCAGGGCACCTCCCAGGAGGACCAGAGCAGACCCTGCCCAGCCAATAAAGATGGCAGGCCCAAACTCGTACCTGTGAAGAAGAGAAAGGATTGGAGTCAAAACTCAGACTTCATTTCCTCCTCCCTCCCTGTCCCAAATCCACACATTTGTCTTCCTAGAAGACTTACTTAATATTCATGGGCGTCAAGGGGTTATAAAAGTCTGTGACAATCTGATGACCAATCCAGGAACATGCTACCAAGGCAGCAAGACCTATAAAGAGAAGAAAGATTCTAGTGTTGGGTGTTCACACAAGACCTTCGCAATGCTCTCTGGGTCTAAGAGTGAGCAGTGGTCCCACCTGCCACGATGAAGACAATGCCTCCAGTCATGGCTATACGGGCCTTCTTCACTTTATCATCTCCCCCACAGCGCGTACACTTCATGCCCATCGTGGCGACAAGCATAGCCAGGAAGCCCAGCACCAGGGACACCACCATTAGGGCTCTAGTGGCCTGCAAGGACGCTGCAGAGGAGGAAAGAAGAGGTCAATGCTGGAAATGGCAGGTAGCCTTATGATGGCGCCAACCTAAGTGCTGCACATCGCGCTCACTAACCCGTGGTCTGCAGTTGTGCTCCACCGCCAGCCTGGAGCCCCCTCGGTCCACCACAGGCCTTGGGCAGACAGTTCCCGCCCCCATCCCGCCACCGCGGCCGACCTGCTCCCCGCCCCGCCCCGCGCTCCAGAACCCGCCCGGGGCGCCGAGGTTTCGATGAAACCGCGCCAGGTAGGGGGAAGGGAGAAAGGGGGCAAAAAGGAAGTGCAGGTGGCGGCCAGGTCCCTCGTTTGAGCCACACTGGCCGGCGCGTGTCCTAGCTCTGGCCCCGCTATCGAGGCCACCGGGTTTGTGGCTTCAGCTAATCGACCGATAAGATTAGAGACCACAAGTGCGGTCCTACGTCTAACGAGGGCACGATTCTGCGGCCCTAGGCACCTCCGTCCCGAACCTCCTTTGTCCCAGAAAAAAAAAGCAGAAGACAGACCACTGACTGCCCAGGGTGGCGGGTGCCTCTTCCCAGGACTCCCCCGCTTTAAGCGGGGCAGAGGGGCGTGGGCCCACGTGCAACTGCCAGCTTCCAAGCCCTCTTCCTCCCGGTCCCACCGTCTGGGCTCAAGGCGTCCACTTCCTCTTCTCTAGCAACCCCGGGAGCCTGACCGTGCGGCCTCGGCCCTGCCCCACACCCAGTCTCGCCACCTTGACTCCCGGCACGTCCGCCCCGTCGGTCCCGCGGTCTTACCCGGCAGGGCGAGCACCGAGTCGTACATTTTGCAGCTCATCATGCCGGTACTCTGAGTGACGCACTCCATCCAGAGTCCCTTGTACATGGCCTGCGCTGTGATGATGTTGTCGCCCGCATACGAACTCATCTGCCACTGCGGAATGGCAGTGCTCGCTATCAGGCCCACCCAGCCAAGCATCGCCATTGAAAAGCCCAGAAGTTGCAGGCCCGAATTGGCCATTTCCGTCTCAGAAAAGATGGGACGCTCCGGGAGGGCGACCCTACAGTAAAACAAAATCTGGGAAGCAACACAAGAAAATTTGTATGGAGATTTAAGTCACCCCAAAATAGGGGAGAAAAAAAGTCCCTTTTGGCCGGTTAACTGCAAATCTTGTTAACCGAGGTAAACACAAATCGTCCCCTCCGGTGAAGCGACACTCTCACAGCAGAGGGAACCGGCTTCGCCCGAAGGACAGGTTCCAGACAAAAGGGGCCCCGAAGGCCAGGCGGTTCCCTCCGGCGTGCTCAGAGACTACCCAAAGAAGTGGAGGGGCCGTTAGGGCGTGGCCCCCAGCAATTTGCGGGCCCCTGGGCCCCCGGCTGCGGTGCACCCGAGCGAGCTGGGCGGTGAGTCGGCAGGTGCGGGCGAACAGGTGCGGCGCACCTGAGTTTATGTAGGGCGTCGGGGACGCGCCCCCGCAGGCAACGGGCGCGCGGGAGCTGGGGCGGGACCGGAGGGGCAGTCGAGGGTGACCTGACGTCACCGAAGGGACACTCACCTGAACCGGAAGTCTTGGCCCCCACCCCCACCTTGTCCAGGTGAAGAGGAAGAAACCTGAGCGCCAGTGTCACGCCCCTTGGTTTGCCTGGCTCTAACTGCTGATGGGAAGTAGGCGCAGGCTTCGCAGAAGTCCCCGGGGTCGGAGCCTCTCCCTGCAGACACCAAGCTGCCCCTTCTTTTCCATACAGGTGCGCCTGGGTCGCCGCCGAGCAAGTGCCCACAGACGCCCCTGAAAAGGCTCCGCGCTCCCCTTTCCCTGCGGGTTTGGGCGCGGACTGTTTGTCTAGCGCTCCTTTCGCCTCCACTCTTAGCTCCTTTTTCTTTAGCCTCCTACCATGGTCTGTACCATTTTCAGGCGCTCTTACCCATCACAGTAAAACCAGCCCTGCTACCCCCGTCTAGGAATTTCTGCACCAGAGACGTGGTCTAGCAACCCTTGGCTTCACTGCTCAAGCCCTCCACGTAGGCCCTCCACAAGGCATGGCTCTCCACAGCCCCCACATCATGCCTGATCCCTGAAGCCAGTGGTCACAGGACTATAATACCTGAGCCAGTCAGTGTCTCCTCCAACGTCAAGGCTACTTCTGCCTGAAGGAAGAAAACGTAGAGCCTCTGGAGGGTGAGGAGTAGGGTAAGACTGGGGTCAGAGTCTCTGCCACACCCAGCATTCCCCTCCCCCAGGTGTCATTTCAAGTCAACCCTCCACCTTCCTCACTCCTTCCCAGCCACACACTGTCCCTCATTCTGAGCTTCCAGGGACCTGTGTGCCCTTCCACCCGCTTCAGCATCACACTCCCCACGGTGGTCTTTGGCTCACCCCTAAAGAACCCTACCTCAACCTTACAACGCTTCCTACTTTCTCAGACTTTGAGCCCCTTCGCCCTCCCAACATGTCTTCCAAGTTTCTCATTCTTCGCTTCCTCCCGACTTTCAGTCTGTGGCTGCGCTCTCCGGACCCTTGGAGTCCAGTGACACAATGTGCCTGTCACTGCCTCCCCTGTTTCTAGTTCTTTCTCCCAGCCTGCCTCTCCTACCACCCCCTACCCCTCTCAGACCTTCTCACAGCTTTCTTACTCTTGCTACTATTTACTTATTTGCGGCAGGGGGTGGGTATTGAGACAGGGTTTCTCTGTGTTGCCCAGGCTGTCCTAGGACTCCATCTGTAGACCAGGCTGGCCTCGAACTCAGAGATCCCCTGCCTCTGCCTCTCAAATTCTGGGATTAAAGGTGTGTGCCAGCACTGCCGGGCTTTCTTGCTATTTTTTTCTCAATCCCTCCACCTTCCCACCTGCTCTTCCCCTACATATCTCTGCCCTTCGTTTATGCAATAAGAGGACATAAAGGTCCTTCTTGTTCACCGCATTTACCTGCTTGTGTATAAAATACAGACTTGTGTGAACTCTTATTTTTGTCTATTTTTTGACCTTTCAGGTTTTGTTTGGTGGGGTGGTTTGTTTTGGGTTTGGGTGGTTGGTTAGTTAATTTTGCAACAGGACCTCACTATATAGACTAGGCTAGTCCTTACAAGAAAGCCGCCTGGCTCTGCCTCTGGAATGCTGAGATATAGATGTGAACTACTCTGTACAGCTGAGATTTTTTTTAAAGGTTGTTTCCTTGATTGGACATAGTTGGTGCGTGCTTTTGGAAGGCTGAGGCAGAACAGTTGAAGCCAGCCTTCCAGGAGGGGAGAGGCTTCCAGCTCTGAATGCCCCTGTTTCTCATTATCTGCTTGTTTGTATATCCAGCCGTCTTTATCACAGCCACACAGCCATCGATTACCTGGAGACTACAACTGCCCCAGCCCATGTCCCTGCTCCTGCCCTTTTCTAAAGTCACTCCCCAGAGTGCTCTTTCTATCTTGTCATTCTTTTTAAAGCGTCACTCAGTGGGAGGCTTGGGAGATAGCTCAGCAATGAAGAGTTTACTGTTCTTGCAGAGGACCAGAGTTCAGTCTCCACCATCCACATGGTGACTCATAATCCTCTGTTACTCCAGGTCTAGGTGACCCATTGCCTCTTCTTTTTGTTTGTTTGTTTTTGAGACAGGGTTTGTCTGTGTAGCCCTAGCTTAGCTGTCCTAGAACTTGTTATGTAGACCAGGCTGGCCTCAAACTCACAGAGATCAGCCTGCCTCTGCCTCCCAAGTGCTGGGATTAAAGGCGTGCGCCACTACTCCAGGCATCATCATCATCAACATTTTTTTTTTTTTTTTTACTTTTTTGCTTTTTGAGACAAGGTTTCTCCTTGACGCCCTGGCTGTCCTGAAACTTGCTATGTAGATCAGGCTGGTCTGGAACTCACAGGACTTCTCCTGCCCCTGCTAAATAAATCCTGGGATTAAAGGAGCTGGTTTTTACTGGGCAGTGGTGGCTCATGCCTTTAGTCTTAGCCCTCAGGAGACAGAGGCAGATGGATCTCTGAATTCTAATTTGAGGCCAGCCTGGACTACACAGAGAAACCCTGTCTCAAAAAAAAAAAAAAAAAAAAAAAAAAAGAATGTGTCATCATACTCAGTTCCAGTGCCTCTTCTGACTTCCTCTGGCTCCCACATACACTTAAAAATAACTAAGTAAAACTAAGTAAGGGCAGTGGTGGCACATGCCTTTAATCCCAGCACTCGGGAAGCAGAGGCGGACGGATCTCTATGAATTCGAGGCTAGCCTGGTCTACAAGATCTAGTTCCAGAACAGGCTCCAAAGCTACAGAGAAACCCTGTCTTGAAAAAAAAAAAAACTAAATAAATATTTAAAATAAAATAAAAATCATTCGGTGGCAGTTTTTCTTTTTCTCCATTGTTGTGGGTTGAACCCAAGAGCCTCACGCAAGTACTCTGGCCTCTTGGCTACACCCAGGTGGCACTCTCGCCTACTGACTTACCTGCCCTGCCCCTCAGCTGTAGTGGCCTTCTCTCTGTCCCCGAAACACACTGCATGGTCCACCCCACTAAAGCACCTTTCCGTTCTCTATGCCTGAGTGCTCTAGTCCATTTACCCCACCCACCTTCCTCTTCCCAGCGAACACCGCCAACCTTCAGCCTTCGGCTCAAGTCTATTAGAAGAGGCCTGGCCTGACTACTCCACCCACCCTGAGTCAGGTCGTCTGCTCAGGGCTCCCATGGTTACCTGTACTTTTCCTTTTAAGGCTCCAGTCATCATCCGAAAGTACTTGTGTGCTTATGGATTGAGTTTCAATTTCCCTGCTGCACTGGGAAGTACAGACGTGTCTAGATTTTTATTACCAATGAATGAATTCTGAAAAAAGGTTTTCATCCACTGCCCCACGCGTGTCTTCTGAGTTGCTATAACTGGATTGGGCACTGTAATTAACCCTGGGGATGCACTGGTAGACAAGCAGATAAGGGCGCCGAGCTCCTCTGGCTTGTCTTCTGGAAGGAGGAAGCAGGGCAATAAAGGCATAAATGCTGCTTGTTTTGAAGGCAATGGAACCAGGTAATGTATAAGGTTGGGTCCAATCTCTGGTGAGATCAGGGAGACTTTCTGAGCAAGCGACTGTTAATGAGTCAGTCATGAGGGAACCATGCTATAAACAGAAAGAAGAACGGGAGCAAAGGTCCAGGGTTGATGGATCCTGTGGACCTTAGTTATCGCTTTGAAGCAGGATTGATTGTGTTTGTTTTATTTTTGTTGTTGTTGTTGTTGTTTTTGTTTGTTTTGGTTTTGTTTTTATTTTTCAAGACAGGGTTTCTGTGTGGCTTTGGAACCTGTCCTGGAACTAGCTCTTGTAGACCAGACTGGCCTCGAACTCACAGAGATCGGCCTGCCTCTGCCTCCCGAGTGCTGGGATTAAAGACATGCGCCACCACTGCCCAGCTCATTTTGTTTTCCTTTTTTAATTCTCTTAAAATTTATTGGTTTTTTTTTCTGCAGGGGAGAGTGCCAGTTCAATTCCCCCCCCCCGTGATCACAAATTATGCAGCCGAATTCCCTGCATTTGGGGATGTCGCAGGAATCAGCACATCCAGAGTGCGATGGAGAAGCCGTGCCCTATTTATAGCTTCTATACCAATGCTCTGCATGTCCACCTGCACACCAGAAGAGGGCATCCGGTCCATGTGGGTGCTGGGATTTGAACTTAGGACCTCTGGAAGAGAAGCCAATGCTCTTAACCACTGAGTCATCTCTCCAGCCACATTGGTTTTTTGTTTTTATTTTTTGTTTTGAGACAAGGTCATGTTTCATGGGCCAGGGCAGTCTGGACTTCATAATCCTCCTGATTTCAAATGCTGGAATTAAAGACCTGAACTGCCATGCCTGACTTTTTTGCTGTTTTTGAGACAAGGTCTTACTATGTATGCCTGGCTGGCCAGAAACTCATTATGTGTAGTAAGATGGCCCCAAACTTACAGTAACATTCTTGCCTCTTGCCTTTCTGCTGCTGGGATTGCAGGCTCAAGCCACCAAGCAAAAAGAGGTTTCCTTATGTTGCCAGTGTTGATACTTGGAGCTAGAAAGTCTTTGCTATTGTAGGTAGGATAGTAAGTATATTTAACACTATCCTGAGATCACAGATGTTAGCAGAGATTAGATATCACCAGGCCCCTCTGCCACACCTCTATGTGACACTAAGCTGAGAGTGGTGGCTCATACCCTTATTGTTTAATCTTGGGAGGCAGAGGTACCAACTGTGGAACATTCCAGCTATCCATCCATTTGAGTTCGTGAGTTCCTGCAGTCAGTGGTTTACTTCAAATATACTGGGGCGGAGGGGGGGGGCGACAATGATGCTCACTGATAGTACTAGCCCACGGAGTTTGCTAGCTGGATAGAGGAAGCTGAGTGGGATAAAGGGATTGAGACACCTACAAGAACAGAAAGGCTCTTTAATGGTACGGAGCATGGACAGTATGTTTTTAAGGACAGAAAGAAGGCCAAAAAACAAAACAAACTAACCAAAAACTTTAGAAAAACCAATAGAAAGGCTGGGGATGTAACCAAGCAGGATCTTTGTGAATTCAAGGTCAGTCTGGTCTACACTGCAAATTCAAAACCAGCCAGGACTAATAAATAAATATTTAAAAACAAATAAGTGAAGTAACCAGGCAGTGGTGGCGCACACCTTTAATCCCAGCACTAGGGAGGCAGAGGCAGGCGGATCTGTCAGTGTGAGGCAAACCTGGAAAACAGAGGGAGTTCTAGGACAGCCGGGACTACACAGAGAAACCCTATCTCAAACAAACAAACAAACAAACAAAAAAGAAAAAAACAAAACAAAAAAAGAACCACTGCTCTAGTGTTACCAATAGGCATCACTGTGGATTTTTTTTTTCTCTTTCTCCAGTAAACAGTTGACTGTGTAACATCACTGGTTGTCCTGGAACTCACTCCATAGACCAGGCTGGCCTCGAATTCACAGAGATCCACCTGTCTCTGGTACAAGAGATCTAGGGAAGCAAGCACTCTTAACAACTAAGCCATTGATCCAGACCTATGGTTTTTGAGGCAGGATCTTACTAGTTGATCCAGACCAGCCTGGAACTCACAGACTCCCAAAGGTGGAACTATAGGTATGCACCACCACACCCATCTAAACTGGCCTCAAATTCATTACAAAGCCAAAATGGCCTTGAATTCTTTATCCTCCTGCTTCTTCCCTTTTAGTGCTGAGATTTCACGAGGGGCCACCACTTTCAACTTTATGTGGTACTGGGAATCAAACCCAGGGCTTCATAAATATCGTCAACCACTGTACCAAATGGTCTACAAGCCAAACCCCTTGGACTGTGCACACACATGCACACGCACACACACACGCACACGCGCGCGCACACACACACACACACACACACACACACACACGCACACACACACACACACGCTGGTTAATTTGTGGCTTTGTTTGTTTCTCCCAACTTGAAATAAACTAGAGTTATCTGGAAAGAATGACTCTTTAACTGAAGGGTTGCCTCCATCAGATTGTCCATAGGCAAAATCTGTGGAGGCATTTTCTTGATTAATAATTGGTATGAGGGCCCAGCCCACTGTGACGGGACCACACCCAGGCAGCTTGTCCTGGGTGCTATGAGAGAGCAAGCCGAGCAAGCCAAAGGCAAGGCAGCAAGCTGCATTTCTCCATGGTCTCTCCTCCAGCCCTTGTCCTGGTGTCCCTCGATCATGAACTGTGAGCAAGAAGCGTTTTCCTCCCTCGAGGGGCTTTTGTCATAGAGCAGTTAGCTCAGCATCAGAGAAAAATACTGAACAGTTTGAGCTTGGGTTGGGTTTTAGTGTTTTGTTGTTGTCTTTTGATTGTTTATTTGTTTGAGATAGCTTCTCATATTTTAACTCAGACTAGCCTAGAACCACGAACCCAGGCTAGCCCCACACTCTCAGTCATCCTCCTGCCTCAGATTTCCTAAGTGTTTGGATTTCTACCATGAGCCACCATGCAAGTTCAGAGCCAGTCTCCTGGACATCGCGAATGAAAGACTAGCCTGAGCTACAAAGCAAGACCCTATATCAGCAAAAGCAAAGGTTCCGGACATAGCTCACTGGTAAAGCATATGCTAGTATGGAAAGTCCTGGGTTTGATCCCCAGTATCTTTTCCCCAAAAAGGATGTTTAAGCTGTTACTAAAAAGCCCTAGGGAGGGGCTGGAGAGATGGCTCAGAGGTTAAGAGCACTGGCTGCTCTTCCAGAGGTCATGAGTTCAATTCCCAGCAACCACATGGTGGCTCACAACCATCTGTAATGAGATCTGGTGCCCTCTTCTGGCCTGCAGGCATGGAAGCTGAACACTGTGTACTTAGTAAATAAATAATTTAAAAAAAAAAAAAAGAAATAGGAACAATTTCTCATTTATTTGATTAAAATTTTATCAAGTCCATTTTGACTAAAACTTGTAAAAGACTGACCACATGACAGTTGTAAGGGTGTGAAGAAACTGAAATTTACACACTGCTGATAGGCATGGGGAGTGGTCTAGTCATTTTGAAAACACTTGGGAAGTTTCCTAGAGTTCCACATAAGCCTATCACATAATTCAGCTTTTCTCTAAGGAAATGAAAGCATATTTCAATGCAAACACCTATTTAGAAATGCTTCTAGCAGCTTTATGTGTAATAAACCCACCCAACAAGGGACTGGGAAAGCAAACTGTGATATGGTCATGTATTAGAATACCATTCATGGGCCTGCCAAATGGCTTAGTGGGTACAGATGCTTGCCACCAAACCTGATAATTCAAGTTTGAGCCCCAAGACCAACATATGTGGGAAGAGAAAACTAACCCCCGCACGTTGTCCTCTGACCTCTGCATGTGCAATATGGTAGGCTCATGTGCAAGCGAAGATGCAAGAATATATACATAAATATATACATACATGCACAATGTAATTTAAAAATGCTATCCAGCAATAAAAAGGAATGAAGGCAGCCAGGCCTGGTGGCATATGCCTGTAATCCCAGCATTTGGGAAGTGGGGCAGAAGGACCAGAAATTCAATGTTATATTCAGCTATATAGAAAATTCAAGGCCAGCCTGGGGTACATGAAGCTCTGCCTCAAAAGCAAACAGAAAATAAAGAAAAGGGGCTGGAGAAGGGGCTCCTGTTCTTGCCAAGGATGGAGTTCGGTTTCCAGCATCCACATCAGATGGCCTCACAGCTTTCTGTAATTCCTGTTCCAGGGTATCTGATGCCCTCTTCTGACCTGTTTGGGCACTAGGTACACACATCCTGCACTTACATACATGCACCCAAAATGCTTATAAATATAAAATACATTCTTTTGAGGACAGAAGAAAGCTTTAGAAGTGGTCGATGCATTCGTTACCTTGATTATGGGGCTGTCACTGCTGTAAACCTTTGTCATGGCACCAAACTATACACTTTATGTGATGGTTTCAATGCCAATTACAGCTTTTGTTGTTGTTGAGACAGGGTTTCTCTGTGTAGCTCTGGCTGTCCTAGAACTCACTCTGTAGACCAGGCTGGCCTCGAACTCACAGAAATCTGCCTGACTCTGAGTGCTGGGACTAGCCTCCTGCACCCAGCTCAATATCAATTATATCTTAGTAAATCTACTTTGAAAAACAAATAAATTGGAAAGTGGTGGCACACGCCTTTAATCTCAGCACTCTAGAGGCAGAGGCAGGGGGATCTCCGTGAGTTTGAGGCCAACCTGGTCTACAGAGCGAGTGCCAGGACAGGCTCCAAAAGCTACAGAGAAATCCTGTCTCAAAAAACAAAGCAAACAAACAAGAAGAGAGAGAGAGAGAGAGAGAGAGAGAAGAAGAAGAAGAAGAACAACAACAACAACAACAACAACAACAAAAGCAACAGCAACAACTGAACACCTCTGTTAGAGCCATTCCCAGCACTCTGAATATATATCATTCACCTCCATTGGGGCCTGAAGATGCAGCTACTATTATTATCGCCCTTCTCATTTTACCATCTAGGTAAATAAAGCACAAAGAGCTCAGGTCACTTTCCAAAGGGCAACAAGTTAGTCAGTAGCCCAGCGGGGGCTCAGCTCACAATCACACTCCAGACTGTGTGGCCCCTGGTGATGCTGAAGAAGAGGACAGTGGTGAGTCCCTGCTCTGCTGAGAGACTGGGGAAGTCTGTCTGAAGAAAGCTGGCAGTGCAGTACGGAGTCAAACTCGGCAGAACACCCTATGACTCAGCGACCCTGCTTTACAGACAGTTATAAATATAGTCAGAGTCACGGTCAGGACACAGACAAACCTCCCAAAGGAACCGAGTATAAAATAATCCTTGCCGCATTCTTTGTTGTGGTTAGAAATTGGATGGGACATGGGAGGCCATTAATGGGCTCATAAGCAGGTAAAATAAGACAACCCTGCCCGCTCTGCCTCCTGAGTGCTCCACTGTGTGCTTTGAGACAAAGCCTCTCACTGTATTACTAAACAGTTAGGCTGACCTCCAATTCTCTATGTGGCTCAGGAACTCCTGGTCCTACCTCCACCGCCTGAATGGAATTCTGGGATTACAGGCAGATGACACCATGCCTGGTGTATGTGGTGCTGGGGATGGATTTATGGATTCAGAAATGTTAGATAGG